TATACTGAATATTACACTAAGTGGTTATAAGGTTATACTGAATATTATACTAAGCGGTTATAAGGTTATACTGAATATTATACTAAGCGGTTATAAGGTTATACTGAATATTATACTAAGCGGTTATAAGGTTATACTGAATATTATACTAAGCGGTTATAAGGTTATACTGAGTGTTATTCTAAGCGGTTATAAGGTTATACTGAATGTTATTCTAAGCAGTTATAAGGTTATACTGAATATTATACTAAGCGGTTATTAGGTTATACTGAATGTTATACTAAGCGGTTATAAGGTTATACTGAATGTTATACTAAGCGGTTATAAGGTTATATTGAATGTTATTCTAAGCGGTTATAAGGTTATACTGAATATTACAATAAGTGGTTATAAGGTTATACTGAATATTACACTAAGCAGTTATAAGGTTATACTGAATATTACACTAAGCGGTTATAAGGTTATACTGAATGTTATTCTAAGCAGTTATAAGGTTATATTGAATATTATTCTAAGCGGTTATAAGGTTATACTGAATATTACACTAAGCAGTTATAAGGTTATACTGAATATTACACTAAGCGGTTATAAGGTTATACTGAGTGTTATACTAAGTGGTTATAAGGTTATACTGAATATTACACTAAGCGGTTATAAGGTTATACTGAGTGTTATACTAAGTGGTTATAAGGTTATACTGAATGTTATACTAAGCTGTTATAAGGTTATACTGAATGTTATTCTAAGCGGTTATAAGGTTATACTGAACGTTTTTCTAAGCTACTATGATACTACATATAAAACCTGTTTTCAGTCATGTAGCAGGTGTTATTATCCCCTCAACTTTTTCAGATACTCTTAATGTGTCTCTCAAAATTCAAAAACCCGTGTCGAAATTTATGCTTTAACTTTTTTTAGCCAAAGACTTCCACGAGCTGTGTGTGTATAGCACGTGCACACATGCAGTGTATGTAGCACACTCCACATGTGTGTCGGTCAAGGTTTAGAACACCAGCAAAACAAAACGAAAGAGGCTGCTATAACTGAATCATTAGTTACATTAAACCGTTGTGTTTAATCCCCTTCTTGTCAGACTTCTGGCAACATTAAATGCTCCCCCTGGTAATTCCGAGGGCTTCTAACGCTAAAAATTTCGTTTTGATACCTGCGACAGGCAGAGCACAGATAGTCCTTTATGTAGCTTTCTGCTTTATAACAAAGAACGTTAAATATTACACCTGGTTTTTTCATCATTTCGAATTGTTAGTTGTTGTTTTTTAAAGATATAATAATAACAGAAAGTTAAGTATATGTTATTGAGGACCTTAATTCACAGAATGTCTTAAACTTCATCCTTCCCACACCATTTCAGCTTTGGTTGAGTCTATGTTTACACTAACTTTGTTTCCATCAATTTGTTATTTTTTTTACTAGAAGCGAAGTGAGTGTTAGATAGCACGTGCATGGGTTCTTCGTTGTTTTCTATGGTCATTTTTTGTAGCTAATAACACTAGCTGAATTTTAGGTTGTCAAGGTGATTAATCTATACTAACCCCACCCTTTCCCATCACAGAAAATAATCCTGAGCATTAGTGGTTTCAATCTGGTCACTGGAACTGGGAAATCTAAACACTTCAGCTACAAGAAGTTATCGATGTGTTAAAAGCTAAGTGCTCGGCCGTAACGGCTTTTAACTCCAATAATAAGGCTTTTCAGAACGTGCTTGCCCAGTAACTAACACGCCATTCTGAAACCGAGCTAACAAATCAACGTTATTTTCTTAACACCGTTTGTAAGAAGTGAGAACAAATAACGTTTACTGTAAACACCCTCTTGAACGTTTCATGTCAGATAACAATAGTTTTCTTTTGTTTTATACTAAATTCGTATTTCTAATTTAAATATACTTGACTAATATTAATTAGAATGTCTATATTCGATACAGAAACGTGTATAATGAATTCATATTTTCAAAGTTTGGCTTCTTAATGAGCTTGTGTGCACATTTTTAAACTTTATGTTATTTAGGTTTCATAGATTTTCACATGTAGTCAGTAAAGTTTATCTTTCATCGTCCTATTAGCCTCATTACTGTCTTTATCTTAACATTCTAGTAACTGTTTATAATAGTAAGGTTAATACAGGCTGTCTTTATCCTACCATTCTAGCTACTGTTTATAACAGTAAGGTTAATACAGGCTGTCTTTATCCTTCTATTCTA